AATCACGCCTGATGAATTAAATGCTTTGGCTGGTTTGGGTTTTAGCAGAATGAAATTTTGAACCTCTGGGACTTTTGCTTAAGGAAGCAATTTTTTAAATGGACTTTGAAAATTTCCCCAACTCGTCCTGGAATATCCAGTAAGGTGAAAATCCTACTGAAAAGTAGACAAAGGACTCTCAATTCAGTGGATAATCCAAGAAAGTTTCACTAGTTGCGATTTTGCCACAATTCATTTTTGAAACTCTGGCAAATTTGCTTCACGTAGTACTTTGGGGTGCCTTAACTTTGAAGAATTTTCCAGCTTCTTCTGAGCGATTCAGCAACCTAAAGATCCTACTGGAATCTAAGCAAAATACCCTTAATCCAGTCTTTCAATCAAAATTAATAATTACAATTATGTTGTGAATCTTTGTCACTTTTGCTTAACCAAGCAGTTTGGTATGCTTGGGCTTTGAAAAATCTCCCAACTTCTTTTGAGCCATCCAGCAGTCTAAAAATGCCACTCAAAACTCAGCAAAACGCTCTTGAATCCAGTCTGGTAATCAACATTGTTTCATTCGTTTCATTTTTGTTTAAAACAATTTTTGAACCTCGGGCACTTCAGCCTGGTGGTTCAGAGGCAGTCAAAACATTGTTTGCGACACCGTGTATGTTTACGGGCTGCTTTGGATTAAACGACGAGTTAACGAAAATTACGGTCAATCATCCAAGTGAAGAAGGAACGATAATTAATCATGGTAGTGAACATGAATAATTAATCAGCCGAACATTTGCATAATCAAGAAGAAAGGCTCAACTCTTAACAAACGTGTACACAATCGCAACAAATCCTGTAAATTCATCTTGGTCGCATTTAAGATGATTCACGTTGATTTATTAGGCAGCTTTACATAAAATCCTTAAAACTGTTTAGAAACCGTCCCCAAAAAATCATTTCATGTCATCACGTGAAAAATAGAAGAGGTCGAAAATAAAAACGTTACATAATGAGCATTGAGAAAGAACACCGGCGCGCAATAACTACGATCACCCGAATGACCTTATGAATCATTAGAAGCGAAAAATCATTGCTTCAATGAACTTCGAAACATTGACTAGTGAGCGAGTTTGGGATAAAAGCGTTCAAGGCTCTGGCGAAGCCCCATCTAGTTCTATCTTCATCTCCTTAACCCACTTTGATGGTGAGGGCTTCAAGCCAAGTACCTACTTTGGTAGCACAATCTAATATTTGATTTATTCGAAATTTGTTTAAACATTACGCTGACAATCGCTTTTTCCTTATTTGGAGGGTTCTTCACTGCTCGCAGCTTCAAGAACTACCATTGCAGCCTTGGAAGGCGCTTCATTCGGATCAGTTTTGTTTGGTAATTGATTGCTTAAAATATCCATACACTTTGCTCGAAATCGCCATTAAGATAAGACTGTCCGTGCTGGTAGAGGAAGGTTTTCTCTTCAAAATTTTGCCAAAGTCTACGGTTTACCTCAACTAGTTGGTTGGGAATTAATTTTCGGATTAACAGTTGTTCATTGGGTGCATCGAAGTGAATTTAGTAAGTTTAACGTGGATATTTACAAAAGTTCATCAAATTTCCCCTTAAAAAAATAAACTCAAAGAGTTTCCCTTTTTAGGAGTGTTAAAGTCATGGTCTGTGTTTTACTACTTTTTCCGTAACTGATTTTTAAACATCCAGTTGTCAGCTTCATCAGAATCGAATAGCGCAGTTTGAGTCATAAATTTTTGCCAAATGCAATAGAAATTTTTCGTACCCAAGTAATCTGATCGGGGCCTTAGCAGAAGGGTTTTTCTTCAAAATTGGGTGAAACTAAATTTTCTAACGTGACTGGTTTTTTGGGAATAATTTTTTGAATACAGCGTTGCAATGGTCATTTTCCCAGCTTGACGCCCATGCATATTTATTGGGCAGAATTCTGTCAAATTTTTGATTAACGGACAATTTTTCATGGGCTTAACAGGCTCTTTGGGCTTACAAATAATCGCAATGTTGACGCTCTAGCTCAATCAGTTCCCGCGTAATTAATTCATGAAGAATTTGCTGTTGATTACCTGGAACCCAAAATGAGGTCAATTTTCGCAAATTTTTCAAAAATCGCCCGAAGGTTCTAGTCAATTCAACTATTTCTCATCTTTAGAATCAAGCTTTGTATTGAAAAATCTGCAAAAACCAATGCCAAAGCTTTATTAGTTTTGCAGTAATTAATTCTTGACGAAAAAGTCATCAGAGCCAATTTGCACATTTTGCGACGCAGGTTTGAAAATTTATCAAAATTCATCCGGACTGGTCATTGAAATACAATTTTTCACAGCTTTAGCACATTCTCTTCTGTTTCGATGGGCATCAAAGTCAACTCTCTAGCTTGACTGGATTTTTGGCAATTAATTTTTTAATTAGTGGTTGCTAATTGCTAGACCGAACACTTTGAGGCACAATATTGAAAAGTTGTAACCATTTTCCAAAGTTTTTGATGAAAACGCAATTTTGCGCAAATGTTGAATAGGACTTTGGCTTCCAAATCGTGCGACAATTAATGCTCTAGCTTAGTTGGTTTCCTTGCAATCAATTTTTCAAGACAACCCAATTTTTCAAGTTTGACCCACAGACTCAAAATGTTGTAAAATCAAAAATTACCAGAACGTTTTATTCTGCTAAAAATTTTCACAAATTTAGCGTAATGCTTTTGCTTGAAATTGCTTCTAAAACCAGTGCTGTATCTTGACTTGTATTTTTGAAATAAGTTTTCCAAACCCATTAACACAGTTTGACGCCCAGAAGCAAAAAGTTATAACGATTTTTCAAAATTGTTGATTAAGACCGAACTTTACGCAGATCTTAACCACTAATTAGGCTTCAAAATGCTCCCCAAATCAACGCTCCAGCTACCTTGACTTATTGGTAATTGTTTTATGAAAACCCCCCTAACAATACTATGAAAACTGAATCATACACTTTTAAGCACATATTTAAAATATCGCCCAAACCCGCCCAGAATTGCCATCAAAATGCAACTTTTTCAAGCTTAAACGCAAGATTTTGTGTTCAAAGTTCCATGAAAATTAACTTTCTGACTTGAATAGTTTTTTAGTAAGTACATTTCACAATCGAGTTGTTAGATTCGGTAATTTTAAATTTCATTAGTTAAACCCCAGACTATTTGTTTTGTCAAAATTCTTCTAAAGGCTCGATAACAACGCAACTTGTCAGCAATTTAGAGCAACCTTTCCTTTTAAAAATCCTGCCAAAAACTTCATTGTAGCTTAACTATTTTCGCTCTGGTGATTTAAAAAAAATCTTGCATTGAACAATTTGACAAAATCTGAGGCGAAATGTAAATTTTCCTCACATTGCTTAGAGCCATTTAGGGCCTTAGAGGCTGATGGAGCAAGAGTTTCTCTTCTAAAACCTTCCTAAAAGCTGGTTTTTTCATACTCATTCCTTGAAATTCATTGTTGATTTCATGCATCTCAAATCAGGCCAATGTTTTAAAAATTTTCAAAAATCACCGGAATGTTTCATTTAGCTCAAATCTTTCCTCACTTTAACAAAGAGCGCTTCCTTCAAAAATCTGCTAAAAGCGATGCTGCAGCTTAACTGGGCTTTTTGTAATTTTTGAACAATCAACTTTTATCCATCGAAATCAGACGACAGTGACGAACAGAATCAAATTGTAGTCACCATTTTTCATTTTCTTTGCTTAACCACAACTTTCCAAACAGTTTTTAAGCAGATATTGGGTACTAAACTAACTAAATGTTTTTTATTACTGATTTTTAAAAAAAAACAGTGTAAATTTCAGGAAAACCAACACAATTTTAAGCAGAGCTTTAAAATTGTGTCCAAATCCACTCAGACTCGCTATCACAATGCAACTGTTCCATGCCTAAACGCAAGCTTTTGCGCTGAAAATCGCTTGAAAATCAGCTCTCTGACTTGATTAGTTTCCTCATAAGTAATTTTCCAAAAACGAGTTGTTAAAATCGTTAATTTCACATTTCACTAGTTGAAGCCCAGACTAAAGGGTTTTGCTAAAATTCTCTCAAACGCCCGATTACAACGAAACTCTTCAGCAATTTAGAACAAACTTTTCTCTGAAAATCCCTGCCAAAAGCTTCATTTTAGCATCATTATTTTCCCTTAAAAAAATGTTGAATCGAACAGTTTGACAAAATGTGGCCCAAAATACAATTTTTCACGTTGTTTATGGCCAATTAGAGCCTTCGCTGGTTTTTTCGTAAAAAAAGTCAAATTTTCGCAAAGAGGAACCGCATAGTTTGCGGTGCAAATTTCAAAACTTTGTCAAAATCCAGGGAACTTGACCATTAGAGGGCAACCTTTCAGGCATTTAAGGCAAACATTTCTCGTCGAAATTGAGCCTAAATCGACTCTGCTACTTGCTTGGATTCATGGTGATTATTTTGTTGAAAACCCGATTGCTTATTGCCTGAAAGTCACTAGAGGCAGTTTTAAAATTCAGCTAAAAATCCCCAACAATATCCACTTGAAAAGCGCCGTTTCAGGCAGCGAGAGGAAGAGTTTGCCGTTAAAATCCTGCAAAAATCAGCACCCTAACGGGGCTACTTTCGCCCCAAAAACCTTTAGAAAAATGCCGCCGTTGAACGGAAAACACGAAACAGAATCAGACGCAGACCTTGCGACCGCAATGTTAGCGAACAGGTGATTACTGATGAAAATCTGATGGTTTATGGCCTATTATGTCATGTTATCGATGGTAATCACTAATTGGTTATTGGTGGGTTCGGAAATTTTTCGGATACTTTCACATGCTGCTGTTGTTGTTGTGCCACATTTAGGCCTGCCGGCCGTCGGCTATTAGGCAAACCGAATTTATGAATTTAAAATGCAAACGAGGCAACGAGGTCTCAAAAACGCCTGCCTTTAGCATAATCGCTTAAACCACGCTGTGGACGGGAAAATTGAACGAATCCCCAAGACAAATCACTCTCTCCTGCGAGAACTCATATACATAAAACGAATTTATTACATATGAATCAGTCGAGCGAAGTGACAAAACAGTAACAATCACACGCCACTCTGGGACGCTCAGGTGCTCCTCTTCTGGTAGCCTGGAGGGCCGTATTGGGGGCTTGGAGCTGAAGCTCCGCTCGAAAACAGCGAGCTCGTGCTCTCCCCACTGCTCACTGGGCTCGGCCCTGCAGCTGCGCCTGCAGCTGCAGAACTCGCCTTGTACTTGATGAAGTAGACCTCCGGCTTGGAGGGCTGCTGCACAACGGGCTGCTGCACCACAACCTGCGGCTGCTGCGGCCGATCCACCAGCACATAAACCAGCGTCTTTTCTTCAGCAGGCGCCTGCTGGGCAGGCACCTGGATCACCTGCCGTTGGCTGGCCTGGCTGGGGGCCTTGATGAAGATGATCTTGTAGTGCTTCCTGGGGGCTGGAGGAGGCGGCAGCACTTGAGGGGCCAACAGGGGCTCCTCGGGAGCCACATGCACATACACGTGTTTGGTAACAATAGCCCCTTGAGGAGGCGCCTGGATCAGCTGCTGCTGCACCGGCTGCAAAAACTGCGTAGGCTCTGGAGTGTTCGGCGCTAGAAGGTTAGGTGCCTGAATAGGGGCTTGAATAGAGGTTTGAAGAGAAGACTGGATAGGGACTTGAACGGAGGTTTGAAGCGGGGCTTGAATAGGGGCGAGATTCTGCTCGAAACTGGCAGGAGGCAGGAACTGCAGGAAGTTGATGGGCGATAGGGACTGCTGATAGCCGCCTGCCTGACTTTGCGCCTGAGGCAAATAGACTGTAGAGGGCTGACTTTGGCTCAAAGGAGGCAACACCTGTTGTAAGGAACTGCTCGACTGGCTTTCAACCAGCGACTGTTGAGGCTGCTGATTGCCCAAAGAGGCCAGAGTGCCCCCAACGAAATTCTGATTCACCAGAGCGACGCCCTGCTGAGGCTGGGCGTATTGGTAGCCAGGTTTGGATTGGGCGAGGGCGACCAGCCCCAGAAGAACCTGCGAAACCTGCCATTAACCAAAACAAGCCCCTGCTAAAAACCGGCAACACTTACCCCAAACAATACATGCATCGTTCAGATGAGCTGCACCAGATTTGTAGCCCCAAAAAGACCCCACAAAGATCTTTATAGTTTCGATCCGATCCCCTCTTGGCCATTGATTGGCCTTTTCTAATGCGACCGAAATATCGGAAAAATGTAAATTAGTGCAGGCAGGTGTTTTTTTGTGTAATACTAATTAATTAAGCAAATCGTCTCAATAAAGTTCACGTTTTGAATATGATTTTCCTGGAAATGGCTTTAATATTCATCGCAAGGGAAAGTGCTAATGGGTTTCAGTTGCTAATGGCAAAGAACTGCTAAATCAGCGGCATTCTGAGGGTGTGGCCAGTGGAAGAAGATCGATTTAATCATACACTTGGATGGTTTCAACTATTCTAGATTAGCTAGTTTTTTCACTTTTCGAAACAGAGTGGTTGGAACAAATAGTCGGTTTAACTGTTAAGAAATCGTCAGAATCCATCCAAACGTTTGATTACAGTGCAGCTTTTCCCAGCTCTTGCACAAGCTTTTCTCTTTACAATGCTGGGAAAAGTGTCTGGATAACTCATTTTGTTTTTCCGTAATTAAATTTGCAAACCCGAGTAGTTAGAATCATCAGTCGCACGCAACTGTTTGAAGCACATATTCAAAATCTTGTCCAACTAGTTAGAAATTACCTCTCAAAGTGCAACCTTCCATGCTTTTAGAGCAAGCGTTTCTCTTCTAAAGCCTGCTAAAATCAATCCTCTGCATTAACCGGTTTTTTCGGAATGAATTTTTTAAACGTGGACAACTTTCGACAAGGTACCCAATTTGACCCGCAAATTTGAGATGTTGCCAAAATTCACCCAAGCTTGATCCAGAACTTCCACTTTCCATGAATTTAGAGCGAGCTGTTTTCTACCCAACAATTCCAAAACCAACACTGTAGAAAAAGGAATAAAAAGGAACCAAAAAATAATTTCGACTGTTTCAACGACAAATTCGCAGATTTTCTCAAAACAATCTTGAACTTTTGTTTCAATAATTTTCAACCTTCCTGGATTTTAAAACAACTCTTTCGCTTCAAGGTAATCTCAAAACTTAAGTTCGGGTTCGACCACGTTCTTCAGAATTAATTTTTGAAGAAATCGTTGTTAATTCCATCAAAGCCAAAAGAACGCATCTCGATGCTCATATTTGAAAATTCGTCAAAATGTGCCCAATTAATCTATTCAACTACAAATTTACAACTATTGAGACAAACGCTTTGCCTTCAAAACCTTGCTTCAATCAATGCTTCAGCCCGAGAGGTTTCTTCGCCATTAATTTTTAAAGAAATCGTGGCTGATTTCCTACACTGGACTCAAAGCCTCATCAAATCTGGCCCAAATGTTCTATTAAATTGCAACTTTCCAGAGCTTTAGCCCAAGCTTTAGCCTTTAAGCCCATGCCAGAAGCAACTACTGATAGTAAACAGTTTTTTAGTAATTAATTTTTTAATCCCCAATTTAACCTGTTCTCAACATTCGCACAATTCTAGCAATAATTCTCAGCGATTTAGAGCTGGTCGTTTATTGCTTAACTAATTGCCCAAAAACCATTTGAGGCAGAAGCAATTTTTTGGGATTTTAACGAGCAAAAGCCCGTGCCCAAACTGCGGAAACGTTTGAGAGATTTTCTTCTTTTTTCCATCAAAAAGATCATTTTTTGCGCCAGTTTCTTATCTGGTTGCTGCACTTGATAGAGCAAAATATAGCACAGAAAGCCTCAACGTTTTGATTTGGAATCATCTTCATGCAATTTTTGGAAATTTTTTAGTTTGCGTCGGAAAATCGCCTTGAAAAACGCACTTTGTGTCAACTTTTTCGTTGAAAACAAAACTTGCTTAAACGCCACCTCTGAGGATGCAAGCCAGTCGAGGTTGTGAAACGTCAAGCAGAAATTCTATTTACGACGGCCTAAAAACCCGAAAAACCCACTAGTTTCAATGAATGGCCTCGAAAATCTCTTTTGACCAATGGGTGTATATCAAAGCAATTATTGAAGAATGTTTCTCGGTGTTTTGGATTTCGAATCAATCCGCCAAAATCCGTTGGAAATTCCTTAAACGCTGACGGTAAATCATGAGTTTCCCAGGATGTTGTCGAAGACTTTCGCCTCAAAATGGTGGCAAAATCACGGCCTAAAGTCCAACTGGTTATTTTTTGGGGCACATTTTTGAAGAATTGGTTTCAGCCAAGTCCAATCGAGCAGCTGGCGCCAATGTTTAGAAAATTGCCAAAATTCGCCCAACTGTTCGAGTAAAGTGAAAATTTCCACAAACTTGGTTCAGAACCCTCTCATCAAAATCCAGCAGAAACAGAGGCTCTGGCTTTAGCATTTTCTTGATAAGGAATTATTCAAAATTGCAGTTCTTTGCTCGGAGGGCCTGCTCAAACAAATCGAGGCAAAGCTTCAAAATGTGTCTAAATTCGCCAAAAATGCCACAAAAAGCCAACCGGCAACTGAGAGCAGAGTCTGCTCGACAAACTGGTACCAAAATCCAGACTCCTCCTCTACCAGTTTCTTCACGTTGATTTTTCAAAAAACTACCTGAAAACTTCCTGAAATTCACATGAAGCAAATTGAGGCCATCAAAAAACCCGATGTTTCTTCAGCTGTCCGGACTGAATGGTAAATGCGCCATCTTCGAGCACAAGGACAGAAAAAACTGAACTCCTCAAGCGGCCATTTAGTCAAGAGAAACTGTCTGAATTTTCTCAACTCAATTTTTCCTCAACCTGTCGATACCCGGCATGTGACTGGTTGAGATTTGACAGGCTCTCAAACAGAATATTCTCCCACTCATCTGCAGGAGATGGCGGACCGAAGCTACCATTCCACCAATCCCATGGACTTTCATCCATGCGATACACCTAGAGGGATGGACTATTTCGACCTGGCCTGTCTGACCAAAGAGCAACAGCAGCGCTTGAACAATCACAAAATTGAGGTAGTGAGGCAACATCAGAAGTTCCTTTACCGGAACCCTGAGGCAGGTTGAGTGAAAGAGTGCTTGGGTATCCGGCCTCACTCGTTGACTCCTTGCAGATCCGAGCAGTGATTCATGTCATCATGAAGAAAATCCTGTTGGAGCGTCCCAGCCATGATGTTGATCGCTTCATTGGGAACTACTTCCTGCATAACTGGGAGGCGATCAGTGAGGAGGTGAAGAAATATGTTGAGATGGTAACGGCAGGTTTTGGCTCCTGACGAGGTAAACTGAGGCGTGTTCTTGCTCAGATGCCGGGCAAACCATCCGCCGATGAGAGCAAGATCCAAATCAAAGAAGACAAGCATGTTAAGCTGGAAGAAGGCCTGGGCAGCCCCGGTATTTCAAGGTCCAGAACTTCCTCTGCAGAGGAGCATTTACTGGGCCACATTGCCAAAGAAATTGTGGATGAATTAGTGCAAAAAGCCGCAGAACAAGCGGGCCCAGTGGCAAGTCACGAATCAGCCGACCCTGCCATTAAGGAAGATAAGCGACAATCGGCAAAATCTGAAGACGAAGACGATGAACTCATCTTCGACTTGGGGCTGGACTTTGATTTGGACTTCAGCGGCTATCACGAGGAGGACGAGAACAAGGATCTGGCCAATAAGAAGCTGGACAAAAACATCATTGCCACCTTGAGTAACGTTGCGCTTCAAAGCCCACCATTCTGAACAATCATCCAACAGTCCTAATCCGTAGATGGACCATGCAGTGTAATTACCGTAACCAAATAAATCAGTTTTTTTACTAAATCAACACAGAGAACATGTTTGCGCTTGTGTTCGCCTAATGGGAATGATGTTAAACCAATAGAAGACACTTGTCGTGTTAAGCGGCCGAATGTGTTACACAGTGCGAGCCAAAGAACAGTTAATTATTCGCCTCGATCTTGGCCTAACAGGAAAAAACGCATAAAATCGAAAAACTAAAGCGAAAAAGCACTGTTCCAGTGCATTTAGCAGCTGGGAACCAATCAAGTTTGGGCAAAGTTGCGTGAGAAGTGGCTGCAAGAACGAATAGCGCTTCATCAATCCGAACATGAAACCGCCGACTAATTATTCGCTGCTGCGTTGATTGCCCTTTAATTACATCGCGTTTAGTTGCTCAGAATGTTAAGCCCAAGTTCAACGATAGCGGGATATGAAAAAATTCCCAACGTCATGGATCAGAGCGCCTGAAAGCTGCTGCAAACGCCTTAATAGTGAGCTCGTTTGAGGAAATTACTGATTATCATGTCAAAGCACTTACAAAGAAAATTATAGTACATATTTCACTTAAGAGTGCCTGTGGCTAGTTATGATTCAACGGAAGTTTATAACCTCTAAACAGATGGAAGCCAGACATATCAAGTGTTAAAAAACCGCCTAAATTACTTTTATGGGGCAATCGGCTCAATAGATCTGAATAAGCACCGGGAATTGTTTTTCGTTAATAACTAGGCCTTAGTAGCAATTTATAACCTTTAAAACGCTGTAAGCAGTAAGGTAAAGCCTTGCGGGATCCTCGCGTATGATTATCGTTATCTGCGTGCTCATTAGAAGCTTTTTGGTGCAGCTCTTAGCAAACATTCCTATCCTCTAAAGCGATAGAAGCCAAATGTTCAAGAAATTGTAAAGTTTAAGCCTTTATATCTCTCCAAAGAGCCGAAATATTCAAAAAGTCATCAGGATTTTTCGATCAAGTTTTTCAATGTCTAGCTTTTAGTCATTCTGCTTTTTTAGAACTTCTTAGACAAAAATGTCAAATTTTACCGAGTCTTTGGGGTTTAAAACCTGATAATGGTTGAAGCTGGTGGAAAGCTCGCAAGAACATTTTCGGCAGAGCGCCTTAAAAAACTCTTGTCTTAAATAGGGCTTATTAGAAATTGGTAACACAAGATGCAAACTGGTCCAATTTTACGCATTTCTTCGAAGTTTAAGCGTCTATATATCCAAAACGAGTGAGAATATCAGAATATTCATTAGAATCTTTTCGATGGATCATTTCAAAGTCTAGCTTTCACTTATTCGGATTTTTCAAAACTCCTAACCTCTAAAAAGAGAGAAGTAAAAAATGCAAATTTTACCGAATCTTCGGGGTTTAAGAGGTAAATATAACTGGGTAATGGTTTAAACTATTTGCAAACTCACTAGACCCTTGTCCTAGAGCGCCCTCAAAAATTGCTTGCACTAAATTGTCTTTAGCCGAAATTGCTAACCTCTAAAGATTCAGAAGATGCAAAAATGTCTAATTTACGCACTCAAAGTTTAAGCCTCTATATCTCCGAAACGAGAGAGAATATCAGAATGTTCATTAGAATCTTTTCGATGGAGCATCTCAAGATCTAGGTTCTACGGGATTGCTTTTGTCAAAACTCCTAACCTCTAAAAAGGTAGAAGCAAATATCTGAAATGTTAGAGGATTGCCAAAGTTTAATCGTCTATATCTCAAAAAATCGCGTAACCCCGTAATCATCAGGACTTTTTGGAAAAATGCTCTCCAGAGCTACTTACCCCAATCAGGATTGAAAATAAATTCCTAACCTTTAAAATTATAGCAGTCAAATTTTTGCGCATTTTAAGTTTACGCTGTACATATCGCCCAAATGGCTCTAAATATCAAAATTATCATTAGGAGGTTTCCGATAGAACTTTTCAAAACCTGCTTTTCCCAATCACAGTTTTGAGCAATTTTCTGAGCGTTAAAAAAATTGAAGCAAAATTGTCCAGCTTTAACGCGCCAGGGACTTAAAAACGTATATTTTCCAATCGGATCGGATAAATCTGGACAGTAATTAGCATTTTTTTGATAGAACGTCGCCTCAGGAAGCCCAAACTAACCTGTAAAAAGCTGTACGCAAAAATTCCCGGTTTCACCGAATCGTCCGGGTTTCAGAGCTGATAACTCAGAAATGGCTAAAGCTATTTGCAAACTCATTAGAGCCTTTTGATCTTACGATCTGTATTTGCCTCTGTAGGTTTTGCCAAAAATCCCCAATCTCTTGGATGTAGAAACAAAAAGAATACTTTTCACGATTTTCATAAATATCGCGATCAAACTATCCCGGAAACCCCTAATTTGGAAAGAGAAAAATAGCCAATTTCTGCAGAAAAACACATTTCTTCGATGCTAATTAGCAGAATAAATGAATCAGGCAGAAGACAAGTCCGTTGTATGCTCCTGAACTTGACACCTTATGACCGTGTCTCATCATGAGCAGCAGCAGCAGCAGCAGGCAGAAGGCGTGAAGAAGAAGAGGTGGAAGATATAAACGAGACCTCGGAAGAAGGCCGCTGAAGAAGTCGAGATCGCGTTCTGTGCCATCAATCGCTTTGAAAATACGCGCGTTTTTCGGTGGTTAGCAACTTTGCCGTTTGATACTTTACGGTAAGTAGTAGGACAACATTTTTCATTTGATCTCTCAGATTGGCTCTTTTTCAAGCAATTGAGTGATTTAAAAGATAACTGTAGGTACAAGTTTTGATGAGATAAAACATCTGGTCTCAATTAGTCTTCCCGGAGCAGGCAAGCGGTCTTTTACACCAGTTGAAGAGGCTTCTTCACATTCTTCATTCAAATGCGCCTGCAGTAAATCGACTAATTGCATGGCTGCAATAGGAAATTGACTGGATAAACAAGTTCGACTTGAATCTAGATTAATGTCACATCTTAGCACTGTGACCGGCAAATAAACCGACCTGAAACAGGACTTGATCATTCTTCAGATGTTCTTCACATTAAAAAGTAGGCAGTACCGTTTTGGGTTCCATTTATTTGAGATTTGCGTCCGGTTTGAAGAATATTGCCCTAAATAATGGAATTTGAAAATGTTCCTTCCCAGCTATTTTTGCATTGGGAAAAAATGCTGGCCCAATGAGATCACACAATGCCTGGCTAGTCGAAAGGAACATTTTTAATTTCCATTATTTCTGACCATTTTTTAAACAAAATAAATCAGCTATCAGCGAATATAAGGAGTTTTCGATATTGTTCGAAAAACCGACGAAACTAACCAGAAGCAAAATATTTCTTTGCATCTTCATTTGTGCGCCTCCCTGTTTGTTCCAATGCGAAGATATTTGAAGAAATCCTCTATTGTTTCGTCGAACGAAAACAATATAAGATTTCTTCAAATATCTTCGCATTGGAACAAACAGGGAGGCGCACAAATGAAGATGCAAAGAAATATTTTGCTTCTGGTTAGTTTCGTCGATTTTTCAAGGATACAATGTTTTGTCGGTCGAAAACAACAGAAGATTTCCTCAAATATCTTCGCATTGGAACAAACAGGGAGGCGCACAAATGAAGATGCAAAGAAATGTTTTGCTTCTGGTTAGTTTCGTCGATTTGTCAAACAATACCAAAAATTCCCGACTCGAGCGAAAAACTAACCGTTTTCTTGCGCTTCCGCACCAAAAACGTATTCCAATCCAAATTTTAATGAAACTTGCAAACAATAAGTCCCGTTAGCGGCGCAAAGGAATTCGGCATTAGCGTTTTTCAGGCCGAATAATTACTTGTCTTTAATATACTACCTACGGTTTATTAAAATACATGATGCATCATCGCTTGCTGGCCAAAAGGAAAAAAAGCAGTGGCGTGGCCAATCACCTAATTCCATTTCCTGAGCCTTTAATGGATTTCTTGCGGCTGGGTTTCCTTAATCGGAAAAAAATTAAATCGGATTCATAACGCACAATAGTTTACCAACCGGAAAAAACGCAAAATCTCCGCAAAATTCCAGGATTCCAAGCCATCCAAGTGGTGTTACTTATTCGAGCACACCTAACGGTTCAATGCGAAGAATCGAAGTTCAGGATTTTTCCTTTTATGCGATGTTTGCTCACATACAAGTGCAAGCTTTCAGCGCGCTCAGTTCAATAAATATTTTCAAACGCTGTTCGCAAAGGAAATGCGATGGAATGTTAAAAGAATCGGTCAATATTGACCAGGCCAGTATGTTCAGACATGCAAAAAGCGTCCAAATATGAGATTCCCACACCATTTGCCCAATTTCTTTGTTTTCGGCTAACGGTACAAGACGCGGCTGATACAAGGCGGAAGAAATTCACAACAACATTTAATGATCTAATAGCAGGTGGTTACGAACATTTGCATAATTCGCCCATAATCAGCATATTTAAAGGAATATGGGAAGTGAAAAACACAACTATAATGCCGGTAATTGTTCTCAACTGGAAGGGAAGTCGAAGACCGACAATTGCTTCCTCAATGAAGCCACTGCGGATTGAAAAAAACAATTCGTGGGATTTTAAAACATTTTTTTGCCCTTCAGGCACGTCACTGCTTGGAACTTTGGCAAAACGTCTTTAGTCAAACACGTGAACTGCTTGAAGGTGTATCGCCAGTCTGAGAGCATGACTTTGTGCGAGGCTCAAGTTAATTAAGGAAAATCCGCGCCACTTGGCAATGTCGCCTTTTTTCATTTCAAAAAACTCCAGAGATTTTCTAGGAAAATAAATGTTGCAAAACTTCCAACATTTTCCTAGAAACAGCTAAATCATTCAAAAGAGTTTTGAAAATAGACGTATATTTTGAGATTTTTGGCAAAACCTAATGAGATTTTTAGAGGTTAGGAATTTTTGACCAAGCCTAAATGGGAAAAAACCGTTCCGGGACGTTCTATCTGAAAGCTTCTCGTAGTAGTTCGGATATTTTTCACCGTTCCTGAGATAGAAGCTTTTAGACCTTGACTGACCAATATATCCGATATTTTTGCTTCTGTCTTGTTAAAGGTTAGAAATTTCAAGAAAAATTGATGGGCGAAAAGGAGCTTTTATGACGCTTTATCGAAGAAAACCCTGCAATCTTCGTCGGAATCTTAAAAATATGATATTTTTGACTCGCTCTTTTTAAAGGTTAGAAATTTTTGATTAAGCCTAAATGGAAATAGACCGTTCTCGGGACGCTCTATCTGAAAGCTTCTCAAAGTTGCTCGGATATTTTTTACCATTCCTGAGATAGAAGCTTTTAAACTTTGTCTGACTAATATATCCAACATTTTCGCTTCTATCTTGTTAAAGGTTAGGTATTAAAAAAAATTGATGGTCGAAAAGTAGCTTTTATGACGCTCTATCGAAAAAAACCCTTCAATCTTCGTCGGAATCTTAAAATATGAT